ACGCCGGGCGGGCCCGCCCAGCAGCCCAGGCGCCCAGGCCGGGCCAGGCTCCGTCGGGGCGGGGTCGGCACCCCGCTGGGTGGAGGAGGGGGGGGCCCCGGGGGGAGCCCGTCCCTTCCCGGACCCGCCCTGTGCCCTCGTCTCGCAGGGGCCGAGACCCCGGCAGAAGTGTGGGCACTTTTTAAAAAAATAAGTAATTGAACCATTTTTCTCAGTTCCCTCAACCCGCCTTTGTCTTAGGATCAGGTTCCTGCTCTTTTCTTCGCTGAACCAATGTACAGGCTTAAGGATTTCCGTTTTCTTTCCTGCCGCAGGGTCGCCCCCGTATTGGCCCAGCGCTGTGTCTGGGTGTGGGGTTTCCTCCCCTGGGAGAGCCTGTGCGGGGGGCTCGGGGCTGGGCTCTTCCTGGTGGACCCGAAGCCTTAGCGCAGCCAGGGTGCGGAGTGACCTCTCCCCCAGCACGCACAGAACCTCCCTTCTCCAGCAGAGTCAGGGTGGTGCCCATCACGGTCCCCTGTTCAGTGGAGCCCTACCCCCAAGGACAAGGGTGCACAACATTCCTGGCCTGGGGGCAGTTTATTGTTCACTAGTACCCATCTTCAGGCCCTGGTCGGCACCAATGCAGGGCACCTTGTCTGTCCCTAGCCCCCCACTGCCACACGACCAAGCTGACCAGTATGACCTCAGCTGGGACCAGCAGCTCAACCTCGCCTATGTGGGCGCCGTTCCCCACGGTGGCATCCAACAGGTTCGGACACACTGGCTGCTGGACCTCATCACAGCCAGGTGCGTGGGACTGGGTGGGACTGGAAGTGGGGGCCAGTGCAGGGCTGGGTGGCCCTCAGGTCCTGTCGGAGTACCCTGCAGGGATGGGGGGACAACCTGGCTGGGGTGCTGAGGGCACGTTGGAGGTCCAGGGTCAGGCTGGTGTCCACTGCCCTGGCTCTGTGTGCACGATGTGGTTGGTGGTCTAGCCGTGTAGGAATGCCATGCCTGTGGCCTGGCTGAGGTTGTGGTGGCCACATGCCCTTCAGCCCTGGCCTGGCCTGCAGGGAAGAGCACCAGGTGTGAGGGGCACTTGGGTGTAGGTGGGTTCCAGAAACACAGACCCTCACACCCTGGTCACGGCTCCAGCTCCTTCCCGAGGGGCAGGGTCTGGGCCGGCTCTGGGCCGGGGTGTCCCTCTCCACACTTGCAGGACTCTGTGAGGATAAGATGGCAACGTGGTATTCAACAGGGCATGGCCCTTCCAAGCTCTGGTCAAGGCACACTGTGGGCACTGGCATGAGGAGGGCATGGCTGATCTCAGAGGCAGAGTTCTGGGTCACTGAGCACCAGGTCTCGAGTGTGTTCTGGTGCTGCCCCTGCTTTCCCAGCCGGGGTTCCCGGAGCTCAGTGATGGTGACCTTCAGGTGTCTGCCTCAGACTCCCAGAGCGCAGGCCACAGCCCCGTTAGAGGGCAGAGTTGGTGGCCAGCAGCTCCCTGTGGCGGGCCTGCCCGGCCTCCACAGCGCTGTGCACACTGGGGAACAGCTGCTCCTCCTCAGTTCCTTGGTCCTCCCCAAGGAAGCCCCCTCTCTGGAGGGCATCTCTCACCGAGGGGCTGCAGCAGGCCAACAGCAGGGTGACACCCAGTGCCCTGTAGTCTCGGCGCAGGTCCTGCAGCATGGCCATGCCGGCAACATCCAGGAACAGCAGGGGGGCGCAGTCAATGACCACCGTGTGGAACCCCGCTGCCATGGGCACCAGCCTGGCTCCACTGCTCACGGGGTCCTTGCCCTCCATGGGGTCCCCCTCACCTGCCCCTAGCTCCAAGCCCTGTGTCTTCCTGCTGGCAGCCGAGCACCCCGCGTCCAGCCCTGTGAGACTGTAGAGTGACTGCAGGAAGAAGGCCTTGTTGGCATAGCAGAGTGGTCCTGCAAAGCGGAACACTCGCACTCCGGCTGGGGGCACCAGGCCCTCAAACTCTGCAGCATCTTCATAGAAGGCCGAGTCTCCAATGCGGGCGAGGAGTGCAGCCTGTGGGCGCTGTGTGCGCCCCACCAAGCTGAGCAATGAGAGGAGCAGCCCGGCCAGCAGCCCAGCCTCGACGTTGACCAGCACACAGGTGGCCGCGGTGACTGCCCAGACCAGTGCGTCGGCTGGGCTCAGCCGCCACAGCTGTGGGAGGTCCCTGACCTTGCGCAGAGCGCCCCGCAGGCTGGCCACAATGACACAGGCCAACACACTCCGCTGCAGGTCCCGGAACAGCGGTGCCAGCGCCAGCAGCACCAGTAGCACCACAGCTGCACTGACCAAGCTGGACACCTGCGTCCGGCAGCCAGTGGCCGTCTTCACCAGACTCTTGGACAGGGCGGCGCCAGTGACGTAGCAGTGGAAGAAGGCAGGCAACACGTTACAGCAGCCCACGGCCAGCAGCTCCTGGTTGGCACGGACAGAGTAGCCATGGCTGCGGGCGAACATCTCGGCCAGCGAGATGGAGAAGGCTGAACCCACCAGGGCCAGAGACACAGCATCCAGTGCCACACGCCACATCAGCTCCAGGTCTGGTGCCTGTGGGGGCACAAAGCCAGTGGGGATGTCACCAGCCACATTTGAGCCAAAGCGCTTGTGGAGCTGCCCGAAGTGGGACACAAGCGTGGCCACCACAATGACCAGCAGCTCTGTGGGCAGTGGCACCCTCAGGCGGCGCCGGCAGCGGTCCGAGAGCTCCTTGCCTGCCAGTAGCACCAGCAAGCACACACCACTGGTGACCATGTCGCAGATGTTGGCCTCCCCTAAGCCATGCAGCAGGCTCAGCCATGTGCGGACCACCATGCCAGGGCCCTGGTGCCGGGGGACCCGCACGCCCAGCAGGTGCCTGAGTTGCGAGGTCAGGATGGTCACCGAGGCCCCCATAGCGAAGCCATCCAGCAGTGGCTGTGAGAGGTAGGCGGACACAAAACCCAGCCGGAGGATGCCCATGAGGACCTGTGGACAGAGCATGTGGATCTCAGGCCACCTTGCAGGAGCCCCATGCCCCACATCAACAGTGTCCAGCAAGGGGCGTGGTCACAGCACAGAACCCACTCACCCACAGATGCTACCACGTGCCCTGTGTTCTGCACATGCCCATGCCAGCAGACACTGGGGCACGTGTGGGTTGCATGTGGGGCAGTGGCTGGAATGCTTATGTTGCATCTGTGCAGAGATTTGTTGGGGGCAGCCCCCCTCTCTTGCATGATGGGACCCCTGGAGGGGCTGGAAGGCTGCAGAAGGCAGCCCACCTGGGGCTCCTGGGACAGGAGGCCATGTGGGTCACAGTCTGCTCTCCGTGCTGCCCTCGACCATGGTGCTGCTGGGCCCACTCCTGCCCCATCCCCACTCTATCTCATGGGGCCGGCCCGGGGCTGCAGGGCAGCTCCTCCTGCCCTGCCCTGAACTTCCTCCCAGCTTCCCCAGTGGTAGATGGTGAGCACCCAAGGGAGGCCAACCTGCAGTGTACCTGCTCCTCACCTGGTAAATCCCAGTCATCAGAGTGAGGGCAGTGGCCACACGGATGGCATAGCAATCCCGCCCACAGTCCTGCAGCCTGGGCTCCAATGTGGCTGCTGAACTGTTCAGGGTGCTGCCATTGTCCCTGGGCCCCAGGCCATCTTGAGAAGGGTCAAAGCCGGCCAGCTGGAGTTCACGGTCCACCACCTGCCCCACTACGAGGCACAGCAAGCTGAAGATGCCCACAGACACATGGTGCGAGGTGCCCAGCAGAAAGTAGATGAGATTGGCAAAGAAGGACGTGTAGAGGCTGTAGATGGGCTGTAGTCCAGCCAGCAGGGAGTAGGCGATGGCCTGTGGCACCAGGATGATGCCGATGACCAACCCGGACATGATATCACCTGCCAGGTCCTCCTGGGGGCGATACTGACGCAGCCAGCGTGTGACAGGGACCAGGTCCTGTACCAGTGCCCAGGCCCGCGGCACACTGCACCTACAGCTCCGCTGCAGCCTGGCCTTCAGCGTCTCCATCAGGCTTTGGGGGTTGGGTGGCTGCCGGCGGACCAGCACCAGGCCCCTACCCTGCTGTGGGGTGTTAAGGGGCACATCCATCCTGTAGTGCCAAGCCTCACACCAGCCTGCAGGGAAGAGCAGTTATGGTCAGGTCTGTGCCCACTGACAGCCCGGGACTGGGGTTCAGACCAGGTCCCAGACAGCAGCAGATGCTTCTGCTGCCCCTCCTGACTTCAGGCCCAAGCCTGCTGCCCCTTGTGGATGGATGGCGGGTCTTGAGTGCTAGCATCCAGTCTCTGGGGAGACGTGATTACTCATGTCTTGGCACGTGGGGGCTTGGGGTGCTGGCAGGTGGCACAGATGTCCAGTCCAGGCTCAGTGCCGGCCGTGTCTGCAGCTGCTACCTGAAATCCACTCTGAAGTCCTGAAGGTGACACCTGTGTGCCCCATCACACACGCAGGGCTCAGACCAGAGAATCCTAAAGAGGATTCCACCTCCCCAGCACTCTGGTGTGGTGAAGGTCCCTGCTGTCCACACCAGCATCCCTGTCCCCTTCCTTACCCAAACCTTTCCCCACTCCTGTGGGCACCTTGGGCTCTGGGCAGGGCAGAGCAGGGCATGTCCTCCCTGCCCTGTCTAGCCATGTGGATGCCCCACCCCAGATCTGTGCTCACCCCACCCCTCTCTCCTTGCCCTGCTTGAGAGGGAGAGATGAGAGCAGGCCGAGAGGGGGCCCGGCCTGGCTGCTGGGAGAGGAGTGGGGTGATGCTCTGGGTCTCTCCAGGGAGTCCTGAGACATGACACCCCTTCCCTGAGTGCCAAAGGCCCCTTCCAGATGCGCAGTGCGCCATGGAGTGGGCATGCTGCTCTGCAAACAGCAGTCTAGCCACCCCAGCACCTCCTGACCTGGCCTGGCCTGGCCAGACCAGCTCTGTGGCGCCGGCGAGGCAGTGCTTAGAGCCCACACTGCCCGTGAGCGGCCTTGGGTCTGTCCTGTTTCAGGCTCCAAAGTACGTGTTTTTTAACCTCCCCCACCCAATGGCAAAGTTAAGCAAATAGTCTCTGTTTCCACAGCCCAGGACCTCCAGTTTAATGCCCATTCCCACTGCCACCCACAGCTTCCTGGAGACTGGGCTGGGGGCCCCAGCCTGGTGGGTGGCTCAGTGCTGGAGAAGCATTGTGAGAACCATGACCCCTTTCCCCAAAGACCATTCCACAAGGGTCCCTGGACGCCTTAAGCTCACCCCTGAGGGCAGGGGCATTGGTCCTGACTGTAGGTGCCGCCCACTTTGTGCTCAAGTGTCCCCCAAAGAAATGGCAAGATTTGTTTCTGCTCCACCTCTCCACCCGGTGAGCCGCCTCCGCTGAGGCCGGGTTGTCGGTGTGCAGGAGTCTTACCTGGGGGGGCCTCCTAGGCTCAAGACTTTGGATATCGAGGGCCTGGGCCTGCTTCCGGGTGGACCTCTGAGCCCAGCAGGGATGGTGAGGGTCTGGCGCTGACCTCCCAGAGCTCTGTGTGTGCTGGGCCGTTGGTTCAATTATTTACCCCAAAGACTGCTGAGTCATGGGTTTCCCCTGATGCCTGTTACCTGAGCGGCTAATCCAGTGAGCTAATCCTGCAAGTTGTACTGTAATCAGAGGCTCACAAATAATTACAGTTATTCGGGCCTCCGATAAGCTCCTGGACTACCAGGAGTGGAGCTATAGCTGCAGGAGGGATGGGTGGGGAGAGGGGGGTGGAGCAGGGTACACTCCAGCCCCCTTCAGCTCCAGGCTTCAAGGCCCATGCATGGCTGCCCCACACTCCAAGAGGGGCTGGAGAGGCTGGTCCCTGTCCTCCTAGGGCCTGCTCTGGTCTGAGCAAGAGCAGAGTGGAAACCAGCGGGCCTCAGGCAGCATTGTCACCAGGTCCTCCCATGGAAGGCTGGCACAAGGCTGCCAGTGTGCACACGGATATCCTCCCCTGTGTGGCAGTTCTACCCCAGCCCCAGGTGGACCACCACTCTGATTGGCTAGGTGCCTGGGGCCAGGCATCCTGTCCTTGGCAGTGGGTCGGACCAACAGTACTTGCTAACCTCGTGGTAGATGAGCCTTAGCATGAGTTCCAGCAGCACCTGAGATACGTAGGGTGTGGCCCATGTGAAAGATGCCAAGGACAAGCTTCAGTTTTAAAAGTGGCAGTTCAACAGGTGTTCTGCAGAACCAGCTAGAACCCTGGGGCTCCAGGACAGGATGGTAGAGGTTGGGGTGGAGCCAAACCCCCAGAGAGAGGGGATCCTATCCAGCTCCATGCTGGAATCTCTTCCCGGTGGCCTCCTGCATCCGACCTGGCTCCCCACAGCTACGGGCCTGGCCAGGGAAGACAAGGAGCTGGACTGAGGGTGTGGTATATGGGCGAGTGACCAGAGAAGGAAGCACCTGAGCGAGCCAGGAGGCAGGGCTGGACACCCAGCGTGGAGCGCCCCACCCTGCTCCCAGGGCCCTCACCAGGTGCCCTCTGCTCCCTCCCCTAGTCCTGTTCCTACTCTGGGAGGCTCCTTTGGGGAGGCAGGGCCTGGGCCTCGTCCCACCCCTTGTTGGGGTGGGGGTGTTGTTTGCCTGGGGTTGGAAGCTGTGGCTTGAAGGAGCCCTTTCCGTGGGTGTACTGGGGTGAGTCACAGTGGCTGCTGTGGGGCAGATAAAGGGCTCTCCAGTCCAGAAAACAGCCACTGGCAGTGATCTGCAGGGTTACTCGCAAGGGGCCTCGGAGGAGGGCAGAGCCGGGAGGATCCTGGCTCAGGAACATTGGTGTGGGACAGGCGGGGGTCACCTGGGAGCAGAGATCTCAGGGGACAGCACTGTCCTGCCTGGAGCGCACCTCTGGTGAGCACGCGCAGTCAGGACGCATCTACCGGGCTCAGTGCAGGAGGTGCCCTCGGCCTCCGATGTCCGTCTGCGGGCAGTCTCGCCTGCTCTGCGTGCAGAGAATCGCCCAATGCCCTTCTGTTCAGCCTCTGGCCCAGCCCGGCGCGAGGTGCTGACTGCTTTCACTTTATCTTCGCAACGACAGCTTACAATTTGAGCGCATTTCTTGGAAAGCAAACAGTGTCCCCTACCGTGAAGGGGCGCCCTGGGCTCAAGGACCCGGCCTGAGCTTGCCGGAGGCCGGAGGCGAGTCTGCTCACGCTCCCAGGCCTGGACAGCGGTGCTGGGCACCCTCGCCCGGTCCCAGGGGCGGGACCTTGTCGCGCGCTCCGAGCGCCGCGGCCCCGCTGCTCACCTTGCGCGTCCTCGCCCGCTCCCTGTGAACGCGAGGCTCCTCCATCCCTCCTGAGCACGCGCGACCCCTTCCCTCAGCCCCGGCATGCACGCCTCTCCCTCACACTTTGCAAGCACGGCCCCTCGACCTGCGTGCATGCGCATGTTCCTTCCTCCCCCTGGTGCAAATGCGGTCCCCTCCCGTCGCCCGGCACACCCCGGCTGCGCGCTCACTCTGATCGCGCACGCGCTCTCACCGGCTAGGCCGCAGCAGGGTCCGGAGCGCACGCGCGGGCTCCGGCTTGGGCTCGGGGATCGGGCGGGGGCTGGCTTCGTGAATGGGCCCTTGTGCGGCTTCCTGGCTGGAGCGGGTGCGCCACCACCTCCCCAACTCAGCCCCGCTCAGCGGAGGTCTTTCACACTTCTCCTGGCGCCGAGGCGGCAGAGTCGCGCACTGGCAGTACGGTGAGGATTGCCTCGGCCTGTGGGGGCCCCAGGGGTACCCCGCATCTCTGCATTCCTGATGCCGAGGCGAACCCCAGCCGTTGGATGCCGGTATTGGCTGGGGACGCCTCTGACGCGTGGCTCCTGCAGTGTGGGCGCCATTTGGGGTCGTGGCCGGGATGGGGAGGCCTGAGCCCCCCTGCGCCTCTGTTGCAGTGGCCTCTATCCTTACCCAAGCATCAGTCACGTTTTATTCATTTGGTTGCCACCTTTAGATGGAGGAGAAGGGCAGAGCAGACCCCGCAGGACCCTGCCTGGGCCTCGAGCGGCGAGGAGGGGGACTTGGGAACCGGACTTGCAATGTCTAGGTCGGCGCCAGGCTGGCCAGGCTGTGGCGTGGTGGTGATGTATTGCACTGTCCACCATGGTGCCCTGCCCTTGTCCCTCCTCACCCCCTCCAGAGCCCTGGCCACAGCGTGGTGTCCTCACTGAATGGCCTCGGTGGCCAGCTCCACACTGCAGGACCAAGGCCAGTATTGCAGCTGGCCCTGTCCAGCTGCTCAACCCCATGACCACACCACAGCCCTGGACACCCCCAGCTCCCTCGAATTCCACAGGAGTCAGTGTCCCCGTCACCTCAAAGATCCATCTGCCCCAGCCCATCAGTGTCCTCCAGGGAGCCCGCCACAGCCCCAGCCAGAGTTCCTGCTCTTGCTCTGACCCCTTTTGAGATGTCGGAACTCCCAAGGCCCCATTGCCAATCCCATCCCCACAAAGCCCTGACACCTCATTTTCCAGACATGCATGGCCCACGGCTGCCCTGTGCTCTCAACCCCCGGGAGCCCCTCCTACCTCAAGGCCTTTGCACGTGGCAGTGCCCCAGACGTTCTCATGCTGCAGTGCCCTGTTACCTCTTCAGAGAACCCCTCTCTCCTGGTCTGCTACCCTCCAGCCCCATCACAACACATGCACATCCAGTGTTCTGTCCAGGTCCAGGGGGCTATCCATGACACCTGACCTGTGTGACCTGACCCAGGGTGGGAAGCCCCCACCTCCCTCTCTGCTCTCCCACGTTGACTGTTGAAGGCCAGGAGAGGGATGAAGGTACCGCTAGGTCAGCAGGTCCTGGCCTCCAGGAGCACCACCAGCTTCCCCCTTGGCCTTCCCACAGTGCCCCACTCCAGGTTGGCTGTGTTCAGGACACGGTCCCCTTGGCACCGCAGCCCACCCATCCTGCTACCCCTTTCTGGCAGGTCCTGGCTGCCCCCATCCCCAAGCATCGTAGCTGTCCTGCGCTGCCCTGAATCCTCTGTCCTTTGAAGGCTCAGAGGTGGGGGGACCTGAGCAGATTAGTTCATACTAGGCTATGAGTGACTGAGAGGCCTCCCTGGTGCTGGTGTTTTCCAAAGGGAGCAGCCCATCCAGAAGCCTGGATCCCCCTGGATGGCATTGGGCAGACTCCCTACCTGCCCCCATGTGGCCACAGTTCCAGCAGGGTGTGCTGAGATGCACTACTGCACCCCCCTAAGCCCGACTATCCTTCGACAGGGAGGCCACCGGGCAGGGCCTAAGGTACAATTTCACCCACCTGGACGCCTATCTGGACCTCCTCAAGGAGAACCAGCTCCTCCCTGGTGAGTGGCAGCGCTGGCCTCCTCTCACCCACAGCCCTTCTGGTGACAGTGCTCAGGACAGGTGGGTGCCAGGCAGGAATGGTACTGGGCAGGGGGTGGGCAGTGGGCATTGTGCTTGTGTTGCAGGGTTCGAGCTGATGGGCAGCCCCTCTGGACACTTCACGGACTTCGAAGACAAGCAGCAGGTGTTTGAGTGGAAGGACCTGGTCTCCACCCTGGCCCGGGGATACATCGGTGTGCAGGAGAGGGCTGTGGGGCTCTCCCGGCAGACTCCCCACTCCCTAGGCCACCCTAAATCTTCTCTGTCACCAATCCATTGAGCCAGGGTTTCCAGGAGGTGGGGGGCACCTCCAATCAGACAACCAGTCCCATCCCAACCTCCCCCGCCAACCCAGCCCTGGGTGCGCTTGGCCCTTGCTGGGCCTAAGAGTGGAGGCCGCTTTGCAGGCAGGTACGGACTGGCGCAGGTCTCCAAGTGGAACTTTGAGACGTGGAACGAGCCGGACCACCATGACTTTGACAACGTGTCCATGACCCAGCAAGGTGGACGATGCCCGCAGGGCGCCCGGGGCAGGGTTGGGGGAAGCAGTGCTCTGAGGACACTCAGGACACTCCCTCCCGTCCAGGCTTTCTTAATTACTACGATGCCTGCTCTGAGGGTCTCCGTGCTGTCAGCCCCAAGCTGCGGCTGGGTGGCCCTGGCGACTCCTTCCATGAGCCTCCAAGGTCCCCACTCAGTTGGGGCCTCCTGCGGCACTGTGCCCGTGGCACCAACTTCTTCACTGGCGAGCGGGGTGTGCGGCTGGACTTCATCTCCCTGCACAGGAAGGTGCGCTCCTTCCCCTCAGTCCTTGCCCTCCAGCCACAGCCCTGCACACTGACACCTTGCCCCTGCTGCAGGGCGCAGGCAGCTCGATCGCCATCTTGGAGCAGGAAGCCGTGGTTCTAGGCCAGATCCAGAGGCTGTTCCCCGAGTTCAAGGACACCCCCATTTACAATGATGAGGGGGACCCGCTGGTGGGCTGGTCGCTGCCGCAGCCCTGGAGGGCAGACGTGACCTATGCGGCTTTGGTGGTGAAGGTGGGCCGGGCCTTCCTGCTGCGGGCTGGAGTGGCTGGCCCAGCTGAGGTCCCAGCCGGCCCGCCATCTGCAGGTCATTGTCCAGCACCAGAACCTTCTGGTTGTCAACGCCAGCGCTTCGGCCTACAGGCTCCTGAGCAACGACAACGCCTTTCTGAGCTACCACCCACACCCGTTCTCGCAGCGCACGCTGACCGCGCGCTTCCAGGTCAACAACACCCGGCCGCCGCACGTGCAGCTGCTGCGCAAGCCCGTGCTCACAGCCATGGGTCTGCTGGCCCTGCTGGGTGAGGAGGGCTGCCCTGGGCAGCGGGCAGCCAGGGTGCCCTGGCCAGGGCCCCGAGGTAGTGGGCAGGACGGTCATGAGTAGAGCATAGGCTCCCCAGCCGCGTTGTTTCTCGGGGTGAGTCCCCCCAAAGCCTGCCCCCGCTCCACCCCGCCCCTCCCAGCCCGGGACCCCCTTCAGGTGAGGACAGGGAGCACATGGTGGGAGGCCAGGCCCTGGGGTGGGGGCAGCCGCCCCAGTGACAGCTCCAAGGCCTTCCAGACGGAGAACAGCTGTGGGCAGAGGTATCGCGGGCCGGCGCGGTGCTGGACAGCAACCATACGGTGGGTGTCCTGGCCAGCGCCCACCGTCCCCAGGGCCCCCGCGACGCCTGGCGCGCCACGGTGCTGGTCTACGCGAGCGACGACACCCGCGCGCACCCGGGCCGCAGCGTGCCGGTGACTGTGCGCCTGCTCGGGGTCCCCGCGGGCCCGGGTGAGTGGAGCGCGGCCCCCGGCGGGGCGGGGCGGGGCGGGGCGGGCCGGAGAGCCGAGCCCCAGCGTCCCGCCTCGCAGGGCTCGTCTACACCATGCGCTATCTGGACAACCGGCTCTGCAGCCCCCAGCGCGAGTGGCGGCGCGCGGGCAGCCCCGCCTTCCCCTCGGCGGCTGAGTTCCGGCGCATGCGCGCCGCGGAGGTGCGCGGGCGTGAGGAGCGGGCGAGGGGGTTCGGCGGGGTAAGCCCCGGGTCCGAGAGGGGCGGCAAGCTGGTCTCCGTCGTCCCCAGGACCCGGTGGCCTCTGCGCCGAGACCCTTCCCCGCCAGCGGCCGCCTGACGCTGCGCCCTGAGCTCGCGCTGCCCTCGCTGCTGCTGGTGCACGTGTGCGCGCGGCCCTCGGGGCCGCCGGGCCAGGCAAGTGGCCCCCAGGTGCCCCAGCTCCCCGCAGGCCGCCTTCGCCCCCCAGGATGCCCGGCTCTCCCACGCTCACGCCTGCTTCTTGCCGCCAGGTGACCCGGCTCCGTGTGCTGCCCCTGACCCGAGGGCAGCTGGTTCTGGTCTGGTCTGATGAGCGAGTAGGCACCAAGTACGTGAGTGGAATGTGGCCCGCCCTGGTGCCCACCTGTCCTTACCCCACCTCCGCTGCGCCCTGGAGTTACTGGCTGCGCCTGTCCCCCACCACGCCTCCCCAGATCCCTCCTGCCAGGTTGTGGGGCGTGTGTGTGCTGTGGGGTACCTGCAGGGGATACTGGGAGTTGGGCTCCTGCTGTCCACCGTGTGGCCTCTGCTTGTAGCAGGAAGTGCTGGGACACAGCAGCGCCAGGAAGGGAGTGAGCAGGAGGAGACTGTGGCCACACGGGCCCCTTGGGCCACCAGTCCTCCTGACCCTGACCTCCGCAGGTGCCTGTGGACTTACGAGGTCCAGTTCTCCCTGGACGGCAAGGTGTACACCTCGGTCAGCAGAAAGCCGTCCACCTTCAACCTCTTCGTGTTCAGCCCAGGTGCACCCACGGCCACAGCCCTGGTTTCAGCCCCTCCTGTGCTGGGTCTCGTACATACCTGGTGGGGTGGGCCCAGGGACTGTGGGGACTTGCTGGGTTTGGGTGTGCTTGCTAAAGGCCGCACATACCTTGTTTGCAGACCCCGCTGTCGTCTCTGGCTCCTACCGAGTTCGAGCACTGGACTACTGGGCCCGGCCAGGCCCCTTCTCTGACCCCGTGCCATACCTGGAGGTCCCTGCTTCCTGAGGGCCACCTGGCCTCCAGGCTGACCAGTCAGCAGCCAAGTTGGGCCGCTGACCACCGGCCAGTCAGTTGTTGGCTTCTTCTGTGCCTCTAAAGTGCCTTGCTGCCCATCAGTCTTGGGGTCAGCCTCTGTGGACCGGCCTAGGTGGACAAGGGGCTGGGTCCAAGGGTAGAAAGGAAGGGGATGGTGAGGACCCTTTGCTGCCTTCTGTTGGTCAGTGCCCCCAGTCTGGGGAGGGGAGCTGCTGCAGGGGGTGAGGGCACTCTTGGGGGTTCACAGCTCACCAGACTGTGGCCAGCAGAGGAGGCCTCCACTGCCCACTGCGTCTGTGTGACCCCTGTGGCCATCCTGGCTCTGTGTCTGAAGCCACAGGGCTAGGGCACAGTGGGCTGGGGCACAGCTGCTGTCCAGTGGGTGACCCGCTGGGCACATAGGTCCATGTACCACTTCTGTACATTTCCTTTCTTGCCAGCAGCCTCCAGGAAACATGTCATAAAGCATTTGGTAAGGAGTGGTCTGGAGGCAGCTCAAGCCTCCTGTTTGGGGATGCAGGTATACTCGGTCCTCAGCGTGCTGGGCCATTGAGTCATGTGGCCAGGTGACTGGTGCTGGGCCTCCAGCGGGGCTCGGCAGCAAGTCTGGAGCTGCATTCCCAGTGGAGAGTGGGGTGTGGCAGCAGAGGTAGCCTTGCCTTAGTCCAACGGCTGTCCACCAGTAGCATAGCATTGTACCACATGGTGGCCTGCTGAGCCCTGTCCTGCCAGCGTTGCCTGTTGTCCAGAAAGTACGTGAGCCCCAACCCAGAGTCCCACCTGCTCTGGGCCTCGGGAGGAGTGACAGACAAGGACATCTCATCCTTCTGCAGGATATCTCACCATCTCACCACTTCGGAGACCCTGCACACTTCCTGGGAGGCTCCTGGGGCATTCCAGGGCTTCTCGCTTACCCGGCAGGAGACCTGGCTCTCTGAGGCATCTAGGGCATGTATTTTCTCTTGTTCACTGAGTCCAGTTAGTGGACTCAAGATCCCCTGGCCAGCTCTGTGAGGCTGAAGCAGGAAGATCACAAAGTCAAGCCCAGCCTAGGCAACTTTCAGATTTAGCACTCCCTCAAAAAATAAATTTAAAAAAGGGAGGGCTGGGAGGAGCCAGGTATGGTTACACTGTAATTCCAACACTTGGGAAGCTGATACAAGAGTGTGAGTGCAGGTTCAAGGCCAGCCTGGACAACTTAATGAGACCTGTCTTGAAAGAAAGAAAAAAAAAGGCAGGCAGAGGGGTTCTGGTAGTTTGGTGAGAAGACTCTGGGTTCATAAAGAGGAGGAGGAAGAGCTTGGGGGAAAGACTGCCGGACGGTGTTTGGCCACAGGAGAGTAAAGGTGTGCAATGGCCCTATCACATGAAGCCAGACTATCTCAGTTCTTCGTGGTGGGGACACGAAAGAAAGCTTTAGTACTGATAACTCAGGCTGGCTGATTCCTGTCCAGGTCTCAGCTACAGCTGCCGCCAGTTACACTACGATACCCAGCGCCCATCTGCAAGCTAGGCAGGACATGGACAGGCCCTCCTGGAGCCCCACTCTGCACTCGGGACTAGAGGAGGACCTGCAGGCAGAGTGTGGGGGCTTGCAGATGGGCCACACCATCTGCTGCCAGGGCCCCTCTGAACAGTGGGTCATGTGGTCTTCAAACGGGAATGGAGCATTTCAGGGAGGAGACCACGTGCCTCCTTTCCCCACGAGTGAAGCCAGTGGCTGGGGCTGGTGCCGCTCCAGGGGATGCTGCCTCTTCTCCAGGGCTCTGGGCCTACAACACACCTTGGGCTGGGACCTGGACAGGAAGCCTGCGGCCCCACAGACCAGCACCTCTGTTGGCTGTTTCCAGCAGTGTTGGCTGCTGAGGGTCACTTCTTAGGACTCTGTGTGTCCCCTAAGGGCACATCACCCCAGAAACAGCCTGGTGTGAATGCAGGTTCCGACTCAGCCCTGCCTAGAGACCTGGCATCTCCTACAAGTGCCAAGTGGGTGGTGCGGCCCCTGACCAGGCCCTGTTTCAGAGCCCCTGGCCAGCATGTCACCCAGAGGACCTGGACTGCCCTGGACTGGTCCCCATACCCAGGTGGAACCACTTCCCTCCTGGTGCTACTGGCTGTGCTGTGGGCTGCCTTGGGGCAGAGGTGTAGGGTGGAGTTTGGAGAAGATGAAGTGCCAGTCCTCCAGGCAGCTGCCTTGATGCTGGTGGTGGGGAGGGGGTGCCAGCCTGCAGCACTGATGCCATCCCCACTGTCCTCAGCTGGCACTCCTTGGGCTCTGCCTCCTTTCCAAGGGAGAGGGGAGGGGCCCAGGCTTTGAGTCCTGCCATTGCCATGGCAACCCTGATTTCCTCCTCCACACCAGCACAGGTGTAATCTGAGTAACAAGATGCCATTTCCCCAACAAGGCTAGCTTAGCTCCTCTACCATGAGCCACCTGACTCCGGAACACCATTTGGAGGTCTGCATCCTGGGCCACTTCCATCCCAGTTGGGGAGGGGTGGGGAGGACACTGTTCAGGCTGGAGCCCTGGGCACAATGGCTGTTGGCTGGCATGGACTCTGCCTGGCTCCCAGGACCAGTTGGGGGTGTGGGTGGGGTCTGGCTGGGGCACACAGAAGCCTGGGTATAGTGCTTGGGGTCTGCAGGTCTCCTTCCTGGGCTCTACCTAGACGTGACCATGCAGGACAAGGCTTTCTCCTCCCAAGTGAGCTCAGGCACTCAGCCAGGTGAGTGCCCTCCATGGCTCCGGTTGAGGCCCACCTGGGTGGGCACAGGACAGGGCCCCCTGAGGAGTGCCCAAGGCCCCTCCTTGCTGAGGCAGAGGCTGGTTTAGACACCTCTGGGCCGAGTCCTGGGGTCCACTCATGGTCCTCTGTGACCCTCCAAGGGCCCCACAGGGCCTTGTCCTGGGCTTGGTGACCACCAGGTGGGACAGCAATCCATCCAGGTCAGACCATGCACTGGGAGCCCACCTTTCCTGCCCCTGCCCAGCCGCATCAAGCACCAGAAATGCTCCTGGCCAGTGGTCACACCAGGCACCCTCCGGGGACCCAGGAGGCCATGCCTGTCCATGCCCAGCCATGTCTTTTCTGGTCTGGGCAGGATCTGGCTCCAGCTGGGGGACACATCTACCATGGCAACAGGCTGCTAAGTCCACAGCGCCCACCACAACCTGTGACTGGTCACAGGTAGGGCTAGGGCCCCTCAGCAGCCACTGAGCCCCAGTGTGGTTAGCTTGCGGCAGTGACCCAGACCCCATGAGCGCTCAGCTCCAAAGTCAGAGGTTGGAGATCCTCGCAGCGGGGCAGGGCTCCAGGGAGGGCTGTCTCCCTGTTACCAGCAGGGAGCTCGGTGGCAGCGCTGCGGTCCCCTCCTCCTCTGTGAACACATTAGGCCCCCACCCCCCGCTGTCTTCTCTCACTCTGACAGCTTCTCAAGGCCACAACCCCACCTGCCATCATGTTGGGGTCAGATCCATGGGGGGATCTGGGGACACTCATTCAGCCAAAACAGGACCCTTGCCTCTGACTGGGGCTGCTCCTGTGCCTGTGTGTGCTGAGGAGGAAGAGCTCCATGGGGGGGGCGAGGCCTGTGAGGAGATCTAGTGTGTGGGACAGTGCTCCTGCTCAGGGGCCACCTCTTGGTGTTGACCTTGTGTCTCCTGTTCGTGCTAACACCTTTCCTGAGGCTGGCCTGACAGGACAGGCTGGGCTACAGCAGGAGGACAGGGTAAGTTTTGGTTCAACATAAACTGATGTCGTGAGTAGACATGGATGCCACCCTCAAGGCCAAAAGGCCCTCTGAGTTAGGTCACTCTGGGGCTCAGAGAAGCCAAAGGGAGTCGGCGCGACTGGCAAAGATCCCGAGTCAGGCAATCCCCTAAATGCAGTTATTGAGCACGGGTCACGTTCACAGCATGAAAAGGGGAGCTCGCCCACAGTGGAAGCTGGAGGTGGTGCCTACGGTGCAGGGTCTTTCTTCCATTTGCCCGGCATGCTGTGGGACACGGCCTGACAGGCAACGCTGAACTCCTCAAAAATGGGGAGACAGTACGGCCAGAGAGCCTGACGGGGTGTCCCAGACAGGCAGTGACAGTCAGAGTTGCAGAGCAGGAACGGCCGCTCTTCAAAGAGCAGCACTGGGGTGGAGTCCACAGCACGAGCACGAGCACGAGCGGGAAGACTGAGCTGAAGAGCAGCCAGAGGCTTCATCTTTCATGCCATGAGGAGCTTGGTACAAACAGCACGTGCTCATCTTATGTGGTGTACACATAACATGTGCTAATCCTACAGTGCTAAAAAGGTATTTTTCTTTATGGTAAAAAATACATTTTTATAAGTTTCTTGAAAAGGTTCACAAGTATTTTGGTAAGCAGGCCGTGTGGTTATTACACCGTGTGGTTTCCACATGGCTTGTCACAGTACATCGGTCCTATGGTTATCCCAAGCTAGTTTAGGCTCAAAGCAAGTTTAGAGCCAGGCAGAAGCATAAGGTGGCTCTTGTCCTGGTCATGTCAACTGAGAATGTGCCCTTCACCCCAAAAGCTGTCTCCTGTCCCTCTGCCCCCCTCGTCTACTGCTTCCGGCCCAGCCCTTGGTCTTCACTTGAGATCAGTGGGTGTGCAGCAGCCGGTACAGTGGCTTACACCTGTGGCCCCAGCCGCTTAGGAGGCTGAGGTGAGAAAAATGCTGGAGCCCAGGCATTTGAGACCAGCCTGGGCAACAGGGCAAGATCCTGTCCTAAAAAAAAGACAAATGGGCTTTTCCTACAATGTTACACAAAGGAATCAGGGGTTCCTGCTCGCTTTTCTCACTGGCCCCAGTGTGACCATGTGGTGTCACCTGTTGTCCTGTCCCTTCTTGTTGGTGAATCTCCACAGTGTGGGAGTGGAGCCCGCTACTCCTGGCCGATGGCTGGGTGGTCTGCAGGCTGGGGCTGTCGCAAAGAAGCTGCTCTGGACATTGTACACAGGGTAGGGATTGAGCTGGGCCTTTGCACTGAGCTGTATCCCAGCCCTTTTTATTTATTTTTTTTAAATTTTGATACAGGCTATCCCTAAATATCTTAAGTTGCCTGGGCT